AATATTTGGGTTGTACTGTTCTGGAACAGTGTTGTAAATACAACTTAACCACTGATTTCTAGTTGTGTCCTCTTTCGGAAGGCCAAAAAAAGTATTTTCGCTTTAGCAACAAAACACACAGCATCTTCACGACATGGCAGCGGCAGCAGCAACAATACTACATCAAGAATAAAAGTTACGCCTTCTTTCTTTGCGTGAACATTTGGGTGGCGTTATGCAAATCTTCCCACACAGTGATGTAGACATGTGGGGGTGTGTTTAAACAAGGCGTTTTAGGAGGGTGTGGAGGAGTCTTAACTTTTATAAAAAATATCTCTTTGGGTTTGAGACTTTAGTCTTTGCAACTTTAGGGATCTTATCTATTCACGAACAGCTTGTAACACTCCAAAGAGAAAGGAAAACTTGAAATCGCATCATATGACCCCTTTAAGTTTTATTGTTCAGTACTATTAATGTGAATAAATCACACCAGATATGACACGAACTGTGTTGAATGTTCTCTACAGTCCAGTGTGTTAACATGAAACAAAGAGCTCCCGAGCTGTCTTACCTTATCTGGCAGTGTGGTCAGATCCATGCGCACTACCTCAGTCGAGCCAAACTTGGAGGCTTTGAACCTGCGGATGATGTCCTGGAGAGTCGCAGCCACCACAAAATACTCCTGCTTCAGACGCAACTCTTTCCCCTCAAAGAACTGACATATACAAACAGGAGGATCTGTTTACATTTAGGCTCCAAGAGTCATGAGTTTTGTTTCTTAATATGAATCACTTGAGTGGACTTGAGTTGCACTCACATTGTCATTAGGGTAAAGCACACGGGAGATGTTCTCAGCTAGATTCTTGTCCAGAACGGCCTGGATGTAACCTCCAACATTAACTGTTTAGGGAAACAGAAATTCTGTTATAATATCCAAGGCTTAAAGACACAGTTTGTACTTCCATTCAACAGATTTTATTAATAAATTAAATTTACATGTAATCCTAGATATTTACAGAATGATAAATGAATGATAAGGCTTATGGGCTTGTTAAAATGTCTGACGATCATTCATTGATTGAATGGAGAACACTCACAGTCTTTGAGGTGGAATTCACATGGAGCTTTGGCAGACCAGAGCCTCATTGTGTTAACAATGTTGTTTCTGTATCCTGGGACAGGTGTGTCATAGGGAAGGGCAAGGATGACCTGGTGAATTGAACAGGTACAGATGTAATGGGAAAACGTACAGATACAGTACATCTAAAATAAAAGACAAAATTTGGGTCTTGCTTTGCATATTGGTTATTCTGCTTTAGGCTCTACTGACCTTCCTGATGTAGACTACTGTTCAAAAGATTGAACAGTTTTTTTTTTCATGTTTTTGAAAGAAGGCTTCATTTATTTGATCAAAAAATACAATAAAAACAGTAATATTGCGAAATATTATTACAATTTAAAAGAACTGTTTTCTCTTTTAACATATTTTGAAATATAATTTATTCCTGTGATGGCAAAGCTGAATTTTCAGCAGCCATTACTCCAGTCTTCAGTGTCACATGATCTTTCAGAAATCATTTTAATATGATAAACTGATGGCTTTTTCTTATTATTATTATTACTATTCATATGAAAACAGTTGTGCTGCTTAATATTTTTGTGGAAACAAAGATAATTTTTTTTCAGGATTCTTTGATGAATAGAAAGTTCAAAAGAACTGCATTTGTTTGAAATATAAATCTTTTGTAATTATAAATGTCTTTATTATCAATTTCTATGCTGTCTCTATGCTGAATAAAAGTATTAATGTCTTTAAAAAAAAATCTTACTGACCCCAAACTTGAATGGTCATGTACAAGTAAAAAAGAGATTGTATTTCAAAATGTGAATAAAGGCATTTCCATACCAAATAAATGTAGATACATGGTTTCTTTGCGCTCACCTGTGTGTCCACCCATTTCACTCCATCAGGGTTGTGCTCCACTCGACCATAGAAATGCACAGGACGCATGTATTCAGGCCGGGCTTTTTCCCAAGGATTGCCATAACGCAGCCAATCATCCGCTTCCTCCACCTGCCAGATAATGTCAGTCATTTACTGAGAGCCAAATGCACCAAAGAGAGGTGAAATACATTTCACTGAGATATTGTTGCAAGTGTGCTTTACCTGCCAGCCATTCACGATTTTCTGATTAAAGATTCCAAACTCATATCGGATTCCATATCCATATGCTGCCAGGCCCAAAGTTGCCATGGAGTCCAAGAAACAAGCTGCAGAAAAAGAAAATAAAGTGAATTAAAGCACCATCCCATAAACCCAAGCTCTCTATTAATCTTATGATCAGCACATTTAAAGAGACTAAGTTCACCTGCCAGTCGACCAAGGCCTCCGTTGCCTAGGCCAGCATCCTCCTCCATGTCCTGCAGCTCCTCCATATCCAGACCCAGCTGAGAAGAAACAGAATATGAGAGCAAGA